AAACTTTTAGAAAAAAACACATAAACCTTCATCATTTTGGAGTAGACAATGAATTCTCGGATAAGACAGCAAAGCCCAAACAATAAATGAAAAAATTGAAACAGTGGACTTAATCAAAATTAAAACTTTTGCTCTTCAAAGACACTGTTCAGGAACTTAAATTGCAAACAAAACACTAGGAGATATAGGTATATGATATACATATCTATATATGATATATGTATATGTATCTGTGATATATATATCTGACAAAGAACCTGAATCCAGAATATATAAAGACCTTATAACTTATAATTGTAAGACAAACCAATTAAAAAAGGCAAATTATTTGAACAGATGCTTCACAATAGAAGATCTACACATGCCCAATAAGCACATGAAAGGATGTTCAACATCTTTAGTCATCAGGGAAATGCAAATTTAAATCACAGTAAGATACCACTACACACATTAGAATAGCTAAAATTTAAAATATTGACAGTACCAAGTATTGACAAGAATATAAAGCAAGTGGAACTTCATACATTGCTGATGGGTGTATAAAATGGTATAGCTACTTTGGAAAACGTTGGCAGTTTCTTAGTTAAAATAAACTTACCATAAGACCCAGCAATTCCAAGAGAAATATAAATATATGCCTACACAAAGACTTGTACACAAATGTTCATAGCAGCTTATTTATTTATTTATTTATTTAAAGATTTTATTTATTTATTTGAGAGAGAGAATGAGATAGAGAGAGAGAGCATGAGAGGGGGGAGGGTCAGAGGGAGAAGCAGGCTCCCCGCTGAGCAGGGAGCCCAATGCGGGACTCATCCAGGGACTCCAGGATCATGACCTGAGCCGAAGGCAGTGGCTTAACCAACTGAGCCACCCAGGCGCCCCATAGCAGCTTATTTATAATAACCACTGAAACAATTCAAATGTCCATAAACTGGTAGATGAATAAACAAATTATAGTATATACATATAATACAATACTACTCAGCAATAAAAAGGAATGAACTAATGATACACACAATATGACTGCATCTCAAATTGCTATGCTGAGTGAAAGAAGTCAGACACAAAAGAGTACATGTTGTATGATTCCATTTAAATGAAATAAATCTAATGTATAATGACAAAAAGCAGACCAATTGTTGCCTGGCAAGGGGCATAAGGAAAATTTTCACAGTGATAGAAATGATTCTATTGGTGCTTATGTGGATGAATGGTTTGTCAATACTCATCAAACCATGCTCTTAAAATAAGTACATTTTGTTTTATGTAAATTATACCTTAATAAAGTTGATTTAAAAATAATACGACTCATCTCCATCCTAATGTTCAATATTGATAGGAGAAATATGAAACAGGAAAAAAATAAAGATGTATCAGGAAATTGGATGATTTGGAAATTAGAAACTCAACTCTAAGTTTTCCAAGTAATACAGGGCATAGAAGGCCAGACTCCAGAACTAAACTCAAGCTGGTTCAAATTCCAGCCTATGCCATTTAGAAGGTGAGTAATTTTGGACAAATGAAGTAACTTATCTGTGCCATAATTTACTATAAAATGAAGATAATAATAGTATACCTACCTCATACAGTTCTCATAGAGACTAAATGAAATAATATATATAAAGTGCTTAGAACTGTGTCAGGCATACAGTAAATGCTATGTAAATGTTAGATATTATGGTGCAAATAAAAATGACTAACAAATCTACTTCACACTGCTCATATCTGAATGGTTTTTATCTGATGGCTGTTCAGTAGTCTAATAAAAAGTAAATGTAATATGCTCAACAATGAGAACCACCTCCTAGGTGCTATATAAGCAGACTGTCCAAAGATTTCATGGAAAAAAAACTTGGAACAAAATCTGAAGTACTATTATAATCCTGAGGTGAGTGGATTAGCATATATCCCCAAGTTTGGACAAATTAAGGAGATGTTAAACATCTCTTACATGGGTCCTAATAAAAAAAGGGATTTTGATTTCTAGAGCTATCAACTGGCCAAATTGAACTGTGAAAAATCTAAATGTACAATAAATGAGAAGCAAAATGAAGAGATTCGCAGAACTAATTATATTAACCATAACATTTCTAAATTAAGTATCACACACAAAAAATCTAAAATAAATCAGAAATATCTGATTAGAAGGTTGCAAAATAAGCACAGAATTTAGTTACCTTATATATCCTGGACCATCTACCGATTTCCTTATTTTTTATGTAATTGTAGCTTCTTTTTACTAGTAGGAGTGATAACAATATAAATTTTTTATTGTGATAAACAATATAAAATTTACCATTTAACCATTTTTCCATTTACTGAAATATAATTGACATACGACATTGTATTAGTTTTAGGTTTATGACATGATGATTTGATGTATGTATATATTGTGAAATAATTACCACTATTAGTTTAGTTAACATCTATTACTTCACATAGTTAGAAATTTTGTGTTTGGAGCGCCTGGGTGGCTCAGTTGGTTAAGCGACTGCCTTCGGCTCAGGTCACGATCCTGGAATCCCAGGATCGAGTCCCGCATCGGGCTCCCTGCCTCTCCCTCTGACCCTCCCCCTTCTCATGTGCTCTCTCTCTCTCTCTCAAATAAATAAATAAAATCTTTAAAAAAAAAAAAGAAATTTTGTGTTTGTATGACAACTTTCAAGATCTACTCTCTTAGCAACTTTCAAATACGTAATACAGTGTTTTAAACTTCTGTCACCATTTTGTTTACATCCTGGACTTACTTATAAGTAAGTTACTTATAACTGAAAGTTTGTACCTTTTGAACCCTTCACCCATTTCACTCTCCTTCCTTGCTTCTGGCAACCACCAGTCTGTTCTCTGTATCTGTGCATTCTGGCTCTTTAGATTTCACATATAAATGAGAATCATACAGTATTTATCTTTTACTGCCTGTCTTATTTCACTCAGAATTAATGCCCTCAAGGTCCATCCATGTTGTCTCAAATGGCAGGATTTTCTTCTTTTTTATGGCTAAATAATAGTTCAGCATGTGTGTCTTTGTGTGTGTGTGTGTTTTCCATAATGGCTGCACCAGTTTACATTCCCACCCAATGCACAAGGGTTCTCTTTTCCCCACATTCTAGCCAATTCTTATCTCTTGTCTTCATGATGATAGCCATTCTGACAGGTGTGAGGTGATATCTCATTGTGGTTTTGATTTATATTTCACTGATGATTAGTGATATTGAACACCTTTTTATGTATGTGCTGGCCATTTATATATTATCTTTGGAAAATGTCTATTTAGTTCCTCTGCTCATTTTTTAATCCATTTTTTTGTTGTTACTGAGTTGTATATCAGTTGTATATCAGTTTCTTCCACAATCATGTGATATGTGACTTTTTCTCTTATTTTAGTATTTGAAATAAAAATATGCTGAAGATGTTCTATTAAAAGGCATATTTTTTGTCAAGTGACATCTTATGTCTTGGGAATTCTAATTTCTACTTTTGTTGATATATTTCTTTTTGAGCTTCAAAAATAGTATTTATGACCTGACAAAGTAGATGTACTAACATTTTCCTTCTTTCCTAGAAAAGCATGAGGAAAAGTAAAATACTCATTGGTTGATCCAGATTCAATATCTTCCATGTTCATCAGGTATGTACAGTATTATAATTTTCTAAACACTATAAAATTTTGGCTTCTCAGCAGCAAAATTATCTTTTTTTATATGAATAAAAAATTATTTTTTTCATATGACGTATTTGTTATGCTAGCATTATAGAATATTAGGTATATGGACTCCTTAATCAAAATGGATAAGCCTCTCCTCATTTAAAAAGCTCATGTAGTTGAATATTGAAGTGGAAAATATGCTTTGTACCCAAATGAGAATCTTGGTATTAGATTCGGCTGCCTTTTTCTTATTAAAAGAGCAGTTATATTTTTAAAACCTGCTTTGATAGAGAATAGAAAGAGAGCTCCATTATCAAAAACAAAGACTTGTTAAAGGTAGTATTGAAAATAAATAATTGGCTTTTGTTCATGAATGGCTAAATCTATTTTGTGGTTTAAAGAGCTAAGAACAGATTGCTTCCCTTAGATTGCTAGCAAAGAAATGTTTTCATCAATTAACATTCTTTGCTAAGAACAGTTTTTTCCAGTGCTATTTCTCAAATGGAGCCTTACATAAATAGAGCTGCCCAAAGAACAATTCTTGGGCTTTTTTCTTTAATGTTTTAGAGTATAATAATTATGGCATGCCAGTTCAAAATGCTGGCAGAAAACAACAACAACAACAAAAAAAACACGTTTCAAACAGATAATTTACTTGGATGAAAAAACTGCCATTAGGTAGCCATTCCTGCAAATTAAATAAAAGGTACATCACCTACAAATTGTGCCTGTCTTTCTCTTCATTGTGCTTTTGCCCAACATTTACATCTCAGTAGGATGAAAAGTAAAGGGCAAGGCCTAGGAAATACAGAATGTTGTCACAAAAGGCCCCCATCTGTATGAACACACCATTCAATTCCCCCAGAGCTATTCCCTCGCCTCAGCTTTATCTTTTCCTCTTCTAGGAAAAGAAGTGCTAAAGTGATTACCACTTTATGAGGGTCCATAGAGTGGATGCAATAATCGTGAATGTTTAGGGGCGCCTGGGTGGCTCAGTCGTTAAGCATCTGCCTTCAGCTCACGTCATGATCCCAGGGTACTGGGATCGAGCCCCGCATCGGGCTCCCTGCTCGGCGGGAAGCCTGCTTCTTCCTCTCCCACTACCCCCCGCTTGTGTTCCCTCTCTCGCTGTGTCTCTCTCTGTCAAATAAATAAAATCTTAAAAAAAAAAAATCGTGAACATTTATTGAACAAGTTCTTACAAGACAGGCGCTATTCTAAAAGCTTTACCTATTTTGATTGAGTTAAGACTCACAGTGATATTTTGGTAACACTGTTGTTCCTATTTTGCAGAATAGGAAACTGAGGTAAAGATCTTACAACTAGTGGGTGGTAGAGACCAGATACATACCCAGGCTGGAGAGCCCATGCTCTCTATTCTCCTCTCTATTCTCCCTGTCAGCGAAGGGAGACAACTCATAGGCAGTGTTCCTCAACATGCAGAGAAGTGGACCTCTGTCATGCTTTTTTTTAGTAGAGAGCTGCTCCCTAGGGGGAAGGGGAAGGTCCTAGAAGGAGAGAAAAGAAGGCAAGATACAAGTGGGAGTTAAGGGGAGAGACAGATACTGAACCAAGAAAAAGAAAGCAGTGTATTTAAAGGCAGTTTTTGAGAACATGAGAACAAAGAGGGTGGTGGAAATAGACTTAAGGGGTACAGCAAAGTGATAAACATTTGTGGTAAATTTCCTTCAAGAAAATAAAGAAAACAAAGCCAAGGTTTAGAATGAGATCATGCAGCATTTCATTTTATACACAAATTAACCTAAGCCCAGAAAAGATTTGAGTGTGACTGATATATTTTACAAATCAGTAAACACAGGGCCAGAGAGATTAAATGACTTGTCTAAGACATGAAGAAGCAGGTAGCATAGGAAAGGCTAGAACCCAACCAGATCTCCTGACTTTGAGCTCAGTTCTCTTCCACCAACTATATCAAACATACTTTGTCAGCTTTTAAAACATAGAAGTGGTAGTCTATAGGTTTTGACTCAATTTCAGGACCATAAAAAATAATTACAGAGCATACATGTTGAAGATTAAACACAAAATACCTTACCTATCATCTTCTCAATAGGCAAATAGTATTGTAGGAGAGCAGTGTAGATAAAGTAGTCATTTATAAATGCAAGGAAGAGAGTTCTTGGCATAAATGCATATTTTTTAACCTCTACTGTTTTATTCCTATACAAATTTTTAAATTGAAATTATTTTAGCTTTGAAAAATTTAGTCACACATGTATATATGGCAAAGAGTGAAATGTCTAAATCACATTAATTTCTTCTTTACTAGAGAGATTAAAAAGGTTGGATGAAAAAGGAATCTTAGGTGAGAGTTATATAGCCAGTTTCAATGCTGGTTTGTAATCTCTAATTTTCTTTCTAGCTCGAAAACTCTATAAACTTAGAAAACCGATAATTGAAATAAACATTAGATGAAAATATAATTTAGGTATATTTGACCCAATGAGATTATGATACACCACCTAACCTAAGTCTATGAGAAAATTATTTATAGTGGCTTCAAAAAGGGGATATTAATAAGTTAATAAAATGCTAATGGTTGTTATCTATGGCATTTTAGACTATGATAATTGATTAAATTTTTTTTTACCTGTTGAGAAATAGAAGGAAGAAAGCAAAAAGGAAAGTTGAAGTAAAGTAGAAATGAGGAGACCTTTTCATATATAATCTCTTAGATACCAAAGACCCCTGTATTTATGTTCAGATATAGGTACAGTAGTATACTCATACTAAAAGTTTAGAAGTTTACGTATTTCACATTTTTAAAGTTAAAAGTTAATAAGTAGTGTTTGTGAGAAAGGAGAAGTATATTATGCCTCGTTTTCATTAATGTGGGGGCAGTAGTGGAAAAATAAATGAGTTTTCCAAAGCCAAATAGTAAATCATTGGAAGCCTAGAGTTTTGAAATCAGGTTTTCTATTGCCCATAGAAATGAATTAATTCTGTGTGGGTGGAATTATTTCTTTTCTCAAATTCTCTACTTTATGGCAATTTCCTTGGCCTTCTTTCTACTGTATTTTTGTTATTTATGTCTCACTTTCACATCATTTGGCTGTGTCAAAAGAAGAATAATCTTCTCAATACCACTTGAGACTTCACTTCTCTCTCTCAAGATGGATCACGGTTATGATGAGTGACTCTAATGATGTTAGAAATTCAAATGTGACTTGTTAGAGGTAAATGATCTAACTGATCTTCAAGACAAAGAAAACATCAAAAAATTAGAATGCAGTTTTCCAAAGACTTATTTCTACCACCTGGGGTAGACAGAAGAGGAAAAACTAAAAAACCCACAGAAACAAACCAGAGGGAAAGAATGTACATTTTATCTAAAGATGTTCTATTAAAAATGAGGTCTGCAAACATTCAATCATATACTCTATTACTAAACAAATTATTTAAATGTAATATCGTACTAACATTATATAAATTATAAAACACAAATATAGGACAATCCATAAGTATGAAAAAAGATGTATTGAAATATATAGTATTGGTAATTTTTTTAAAAGATTTATTTATTTGAGGGAGGGGCAGAAGGAGAGAGGGAATCTCAAGCAGACTCCTTGCTGAGCACAGAGCCTAATTTGGGGCTTGATCTCATGACTCTGAGATCATGACCCCTACTGAAACCAAGAGTCGGATGCTCAACGGACTGGGCCACCCAGGTGCCCCTATAGTATTGATAATTTAAATAAATTTCAGTGAGAGTTTTGTGATAGAAAATGTTGCATCACCTTGAAAATCATGGTTTAATACCTGGTCATAGAAGGATTCAAGTTTAAGATCAGTTTACTCCCATAACTTGGCTATAAGGGCTATAAAAGCTAAAATAGATACCACAAAAAGATATGGAAGAAATACAAAATTGGCTTCATGTACTCAATTATGACACTTAAATTTCAACTCCAACCAATAGTTATACTAAGATTGTAATTTAGGCTTTTTCTCTAACAAATTTCTGACTTCCCTATCAATCAGTTTTCCCTGCAAGTTTTTTTTCTTTAATGTTTAACAATGGCATCTCAATCCACTGAAATGCTATTTTGAAGATTTTCAATCATGTTAGAAAATTGTTTCCAAATTTACTAAGTTTTCATAAATGAGAGTTTTAACATGATGTGCTTATGTCATTTTTTAAAAGTTTTTGTTTGTAATAGCTTTATTGAGACATAATTTATATTCCATGAAAATATATCCATTATAAGCGTACAATGTGATTACTTTTAATGAATGTATAATTGTGCAATCGTCACCACCATTTAGTTCTGGAACATTTCCATCACCTGAAAATGTTCTGTCATAGCCACTTGCATTCAATCTTCCCAGCCTAGCTCAAGGTAATCACTAATTTGCTTTTTGTCTCTCTATTTTTTTTTTTTGGAAGTGTCATACAAATGGTATAACATGTGGCCTTGGGGTGCCTGGGTGGCTCAATTAATTAAGCGTCCCACTCCTGGTTTTGGCTCAGGTCATGATCTCATGGTCGTGAGATCGAGCCCCTCATCAAGCTGGCTACTCAGCATGGGGGCTCTGCTTGAGATTCTTTCGCCTCTTCCCGCTCCCTCCTCCTCAACTCGAGCTCTTCCCTCTCCCTCCTCCCTCCCTCCAATCAAGCTCTGTCTCTAAAATAAGTAAGTAAATAAATAAATAAAACCTTTAAAAAAAAAGTGGCCTTTTGTGACTTTTTTCCTCTCGGCATAATATATTGCAGGTTTATTAATGTTGTAGCAAGTGTCGATAGTTCATTATTTTTATTGTTGAATAGTATTCCATTGTGCCACATTTTATCTAATCATTAGTTGATAGCCATTTTGATTATTTAGTTTTTTTCCAACTATGAATAATACTGATATTATTGATGTAAACATCTTTGTGTGGACATGTGTTTTTATTTCTTGAGTAGACATCTAGAAGTAGAATTGCTGAGTCATATGGTAAATTTATATTTATATTTTAAAGAAACTGTCAAATGGTTTTCCAGAGTGGGTATACCAATCAGCAATTTATGATAGTTCCAGTTTTCCACAACCTTTTCATCACTTGGTATTATTAATCTTTTGCCTTATACCCATTTTAGTGGTTGTATAGTTGTATTATGGTTTTAATGTCCATTTCCTTTATGATTAATCATGTTGAGTATCTTCTCCTGTGATGATTAACCATTTGTATAACATTTTGGTGAAATGTTTTGTACATTTTTAAATTGAGTTGCTTGCCTTCTTACTTTAGATGTTTAGAAATTCAATATATATCCTAGATATAACACCTTTATCAGATTATGATTAGAAAATATTCTTTCCCCAGGCACCTGGCTGGCTCATTTGGAAGATATGTGACTCCTGTTCTCAAGGTCAAGAGTTTGAGGCCCACATTGGGCACAGAGATTACTAAAAATAAATAAATAAACTTTAAAAAAAAAGAAAAAAGAAAATATTCTTTCCCAGTCTATGGGTTATCTTCTCATTTTCTTACTAATGTGTTTTGAAAGACAAAATTTTTATTAAAAAAAAACTTTTATTTTTATTAAGTCCAATTTATCAATTTCTTCTTTTATGGATCATGACGTAGTATCATATTCAAGATATCTTTGCCTAAGGCAAAGTCACAGAAATCTTGTACTATGTTTTCTTCCAGAAGTCTTATAATTTTTTTTAAGATTTTATTTTTAAATAATCTCTACACCCAACATGGGGGCTTGAACCCATGACTCAGAGATCAAGAGTTGCAGCCCTTCCAACTGAGCTAGCCAGGTGCCCCAGAAGTCTTATATGTTTAATTCTTAGGTCTATGATGCAAACTGAGTTAATTTTTCTGTGTGTTGTAAGGTAAGAATATAAGTTCATTATTTTGCATATGGATATCCAATGCATTTCTTGAAGAGACACCCCTTTCCCCACTGAACTACCTTGGCATTGTTGTTGGAAATCAATTGACCATAAATGTAATGAATTATTTCTCTACCCTCTATTCTATTTCATTGATCTACACGGCTATCATTATGCCAATACTATATTCTATTACTGTAACTTTTTAATAAATTTTGAAATTGGATATTGCAATTCTTCCTATTCTGTTGAGGTTTTTTTGTTTGTTATTCTTGTTTCTATGTATGTGCATTTTTAAAGGATTTTATTTATTTATTTGACAGAGAGAGAACACAAGCAGGGGGAGCAGCAGTGGGAGAGAAAGAAGCAGACTACCCGCTAAGCAGGGAGCCTGATGTGGAGCTGGATCCCAGGACCCTAGGATCATGACCTGAGCAGAAGGCAGACACTTAACCCACTGAGCCACCCAGGCACCCCTGTATGTGCATTTTAAGACTGGCTTATCAATTTCTACATAAAGTGTTTGCTGGGATTTTGATAGGGATCACATTGAATATATAGGTCAGAGATCTTATACATTTATAAAATTCATGTTCTTTTTCTTTTTCATGTTATTATGCAGGGAATTGTTTTCTCAAGTTTATTTTAAATTGTTAATT